TTTAAATTTTTAAATGGATATATATATAAATATATATATATATATATATATATATATATATATATAATTTTTTTACATATTAAAAAACTTAAGATTTATATTAGAATCAATCATTACAAATCTATAATTTAGCACATTATAAGAAAGCAGGTAAATAAAAATATATCAGGGAATTGCTAAGTGAATACCCCTCTTTTACTACATTGACACTTTTCACATATACACATCAATTTTATTCCTACTTGAATATTTTTGAAAAATTATATTGTTAGTTTTAAGAAGAATTATGAAAATTAATTAAAATAAATTTATTTCTTTTATTTGTGCTTGAATGATTGATATCACATATTAAAATTTAGATGCATGTTCCTTATCAAAGAGAGTAAACTATAAAATTATGTTGTCAACTTGCACAAATGACTTGAAGCATTATATAATTATGTTTTTTTTTCAAAAAATCTCAATAAATTTAGGAAACTATAGGAAGAGGTATCCGTGCAAATAAAGTGAGGTATTTACCTTACAATTCCTATATTTATTTATGAAAAAATTAATTATTCGATATTTAATATCTATAATTACCTGTATATTTGCACCATAATTCTTTAATATCTAAAATTTATTTATTTAAGTTTTTTTTGAGTAGGTAAATATTAAAAATATATATATCTATTTGAAAAATTAAATATTACATGATTGAATATATAATCATAAAATTGTTGTTGATATTTTTATAAAAAATAAAAATTCTATTATAAATTTTTCAAAAAGAATGATTATTAAATTTCTAATAAACACTTACTAAATAATTTAGGTTAAACTTTTTTCATGAAATAGTAAAAAAAAATTTAATAATAATACTTTGATAATATATATATATATATATATATATATATATATCTCAGAGATTATTTAAATATATATACATACAAGTTGATTTGATACAAGAAACTACTTTAAAAGTGGATTATTACAATCAAGCTCTTTCATAAACTTAAAACTTTAATATTTTAACACTTGTTACCTTTATTCATGTTTTTAAAAAAATCAATCACTCAAATTTTATCTTGGGACTTGTTCTGTTGTAAGTAGAAAAAGAACATAATATACACATTTGATACAATTAGTTATTTAAAAATATATAATTTCTTTTGTTAACCAAAAATAAAACTTATACACACACCTATTTTTTTTTAGTGTGTTTTTATTATTTATTGAAATCCAAATTATTTAAGCTACGTATAAATAATGAGGAACAATCCAAAAAACCATGCATTTAGGAGATGAACGTATAACAAAGAAATTTTATTTATTTATTATTATCATCATTATTTATTAAAATAAAACTAGTTTAAAAAAAATGAGATAGATAGTCTAAAAGCAGGTAGACTTTGCCTTGTAGCTACTAGTGGCACATGTATTAGGACATAGAGCAAGACAACAAACACGGCCAGGAAGAGAAGATTTTAAAATAATAATAATAAAGCAAATAAAAAATTAAAAAAAAACTGCCACGTGGGATATGGATTCCACTGTATCCTCCTCCCTCCCACGTGGCATGACATGTCAGCATCCCTGTTTGTCATATCTTCCTCTTCTACACTTCGTTGTGTCTTTTTTAATATTCTTTTTGTATCAAGTAAGAGAATTTAAACTCAAAATGTAAAAGCGTATCCAAGAGAGAGAGATGCACGGATTGCAGACTTTTGGTAGCAACAACTTTAAGAGTAGAGTAGAGAAAAGGGAAAGGAAAGGAAGAAAGAAACCTTCTGGTACTGGGCCCAAAGGGAAATAATGGTATTTCTGTGCAGGCTTTGTATGCAACCCTTTTGTTGCAAAGCTGCTTGAATGATTTGTGACTCAATAATAAGTGAAGGTCTTTTGCACCAACTGGTAGGAGTATATTCCAGGAAAGAGTATCAATAATTAAGATACATACATACATACATACACACACACACACACACATAATCACTTTGTTCTTATTATTACGATTAGTTTATTTGTTATTTTTGCATATTCAAATTCCCTTCAGTTTCACAATGTCTAATGTCCATGTGGCAGGATTGAGGCGGGCTTTTCCAGGCAAAGGGAGATCCAGGGCCTCACATTTGGATCTTCAGGAGAGTATATAATAGAACATGAATATCTTCCACCTTGAAGAAGACAGACACTTCTAACAATTAAAATCCACATTAAATAATAACAATTAGAACATCATGGTGCCAATAATATCAAAGTGATGAAGAGGACATGGCATTCTGTACATTTTTGTTCGAAAAGTGCATGTATTTTAATCATTGTGAGTAATCAAATCAATATTAGATACTGCTTCCAATATTTTTGATTTTTGATTTTTATAGTTAAGTGTGGAGATCTACAAGTAACGGATTTTAACTTCCAAAGTTGATGTATTAGAAGTGAATGCAATAATAAGTAATAGTATAATAATATCATGCACTAATCATGATATACTTTTGAAGTCCAGACTGTTGATTTAAATGTTTTTACAACTATGACTGTTAGAACTAATGTTTGTTTTAGTATTAGAATATATTAATAATTAAAAATTTCAGATTTTAGTGGTGTGTGAAAACATTGTCAGATGTTCTTTTTCATAAAAAAAAAATAATGATTGAATTATTCTTTAAAAAAAAAAAAAAAAAAAAAGGAAATTTGGTTCTAATGTTTATTTGTTATACAATAAAATATAATATCATGTGCAAGTCTTATGGAATTGAATTTTCAAGGGACAAGAAAAATCATAGTTCAATGTCTCTTTAGCTTGTTTTAAAACATAAACAAAGTTATAAAAGAATGAATTAGAATTTTCAAGGGTAAACAAAAAGGAGAATGGTATCACTCATAGATAATTGAGGCAAAAATATTAATTTTTTTATACTCTAATAGAATTTATAGAGCTTGATGAACAAAGATATATTAATTTGATGTATTAGAAGTGCTATTATTGTGCACTTTTGAGTGGAAATAACAAAGGCCACCTATAAACACAAAGTTGTTATTTCTAAAAAGAAGAATTGAATCATGCTTAATAATACATGTCATGTCTATCAAATAAGAAAAAATTCTATTGCTGTCAATTATATATTATTCTATATTTTATTTTGTCATTTAAAAAAAAAATCTTGCAAAAAAATAAAGAACCTACAAATCTCTAGCACAAGCTAAGAGAAATTAAATACTAAAGCAAAAAAATAAGACAACATAAGAAAACTCTTAAATTCATTTAGATTATATTCACCTATCCAACTTTATTCTAATTTTTATTTGACCTAGACTTAAAAGCTCTACAAGCAACTTTAATATACATAATATCAAGTGAATAAATTTTTATTACTTTTTTATACTAACATTTGACAAATTATATATATGATTGATTTAGTACATTGTAAGAATTAGTTTTAAATGATAATAGAATATTTTTAATTAATTATGATTACAAATATTATTAACAATGGTTCTATACATATTAAGAGTTATTTAAATCAAGTTTAGTTGCTGAACATCAAAAATTTACAGAAAAAATAGTGAACATGTTTTTTAATCATTAAAAATAACTTTAATAGTTTTAAAATCTAATGATTTAATTTCAAAATCTAATGATTTAATTTCAAAATCTAATGATTAAACCTTTGCTAAATAAAAAAACAACAAACATCCACCAATTTTTTTAATACTCCAAATTTTCTTTCTTTCTTTTTTTCTTTTTTTTCAAAAGAAAAGCCACAGTTTTGAATCAATAATTACTTACACAAAGAGTTCTTGCCATAATACATCCAAAGTCAAAAAACAACAACCTTACCTTATCTCTATTTGTACACTAATTCTCTCCATAAATTCAACCATAGTATTGATATAAACAAACAATGTTTTACTTAAGTTTCTTAAAAGTGAATGAAATGAGTCATCATCTCCACATACCATATCAAATTAATCCACCCCTACACCACAATTGGTGGAAGTAGTAGTAAGGTAGCCCACCAATTATTAATCACCCCTCTATTTTTGACCTATAGGATGGAATATTTCTACTAGGCCGGCAACTTATTATCAACCAATTTTGATATTTTGTGGTTGGAAATAGGTTGGAGGCCTAGAAGAAATGATGTTAAATAGTGAGCAATATAAACATTTCATTGTGTTTGGAATCAATATGCATGAACTATCAAAAATCAATTTTTGCATTAGTATAGTTGTATATATGTGACAATTGATTATGCTTTGGTCAATCAAAGAGTTTTTGGAGTGGGATCAAAAGATAGAGGATGTGTGAGATATTGTTTGGAGATTAGTGGAAACAAGGAAAAATGGTGGCAAAAATCCAACTTGAACATGGTGGATTACTTACAATCAAATTTTTGAATTTTTGTTGCCTCATCTACACATTTACATCTATAAATAGCATAGAATTAGGTGAAGTTTAATAACATAATTAGGTGCTACAAATCACAATTTTGTAAAAGTTTGATTCTTGGTTTTGTAATCCACCACTAATCGAAATTAGGTTGACCTATATGTCAAAAATGAGTCAAAGAGGATCTTTAGCTAAAATATTTATATAAATTCCGTTTTTTGGACCAAATTGTGTGAAAAAGCTTAGAATTCTATTGTTTTCTATTTCCCTACATAGAGATATATTTTCTCCATTTTTACACCTACTTGATGTATGCTGAAATGCTTAAGATATCGGAAAGGGTTGTCTACCTAGTTTAGTTGTAGTAATTTTACAACCAAAGCCCTCACACTCCTCCTCACTCACACAGTAGAATATGTAGAGTGCATCCATGTCCTGGTAACTGTTGTATGAAAGCAGTGACTGGATCCAGCCATGGATTCATGCTAGCAAAGCACAGCATCAACAACAGCAGTGAATTCCTTCATTCATTCAAGGGGGTGAGCCCAGCACAGTCCAGTTCACGAGGAGGAAGAGGAGGAGGAATGGGGGGGAGAGTGGAGGTGTAATAATAGATGGGACCTGGGGAAGATGATTGAGTCGCCATCTCCATCGCCAGGGCTCCATGCAATCACCACACAGACACCACCACTAACACCACCTCCGAAATCATGGCTGAATGATTGAGTGAATGTGATGGAATTCATAACATTCTCCAGTTAGCTCATACCTCTCTCTCTGTCTCTTCCATGATGTGGGGATTGCAGCTGCTGCATTGATCCTCGCATGCCTTGCCTCCTCTTCCCCTCCTGCAAGTTGCCATTGGGATTCAGAGCATGTGAGCGTTGATTGAATGTGGTGTGGACACCCTCCAGAGCCTTTCTCACATGCTGCCTGACTCGGCGTTGTAGCTGTTGATTCTGTTCGGCGAGCTGGAGCAAGTTTCGTGTTGTCTCGAGATCGGTGGAGGTTGTCTCACCCTGATGGGAAAGATTGTTGTTTTGGAGGCGTGTCCCACTCAGGATTAGGTTCGATTTCCTTTGAGAGAGGTGAAGCACGGAAATGATTCCTTTCACAACATTGGATGCCAATTTGAGGAGTTTGCGTGAGGTTGATTGGTGGGAAAACTGTGGTAACACGCGTAGGATATGGTGGTGAAGAGCTGGACGTCGTGGAATTTTTGCGGGTGAGGGTGTCAATGTGGGTGGAGGATAGCATTTGAGACGATGGGTGTGGGTGTTTCGAGGGGAAGGGCGGCCCGGGGCATTCTGTCGCCAGGAGCTGGCATCCTGCTTTGCTGTGCGTTGATCTCATTTCTGAGCTCCGTGTGTGGATTCTCTGACCCCAGTGAAGGTAACTTCTTTTTGTCTGACGTCCACTTTTGCAATCTTATTCATTCTTGAACTGAATAGTTAAGTTACAAAAAAACATTCAGTTTCCATACAGTGTGAGTATTAGATTTGAAATGACCAACTCTCGGAGTCGCGTTGGAGGAAGGATTTAGCAGGGGAATTGGATATGACAACTTTTGTTGATTATCATAACATCCCTCCAATGTTTGAGTCGATCATGGAATTGCATATGTCTCGTTTTCAATGGCTTGTATGTCGCTTGTCTGTGATTTGGTTACAGTAAATGCCTTGAATACGATGTTCGTTGACTTTAATCAAGACCCGAAGCTCACGGGTTGGGATCGAAATAATGGCGATCCATGTGGGACCGCTTGGTATGGCATTGTATGCTCGCCTGACAATTTTGTTGTATCAATGTAAGCATCCTCCACGCTCATTTCATCGTAGTCTTTATACCTTCACATCCACAGATTGGAATAATCCGTCCTCTTACTGTTTCCAAGATTTTATTTAATTCCACTATGCTGCAAAATTATCTTCTCGTAAAGAACAGGGTACAGATTACAAAAACATAGGCTGAAGCCTTTGTTTTGACGTCTCCTGTGTCTATCTGTTGTACAGCAAAATACCAGGCTTAGGGTTGAATGGAAAGATGCAAGTATGGGTTCTGCAAAATCTAAGACGTCTTCAAGTTGTGTAAGCATCTTCTTTGCATTTACTAAGTCATGAGCATATCGCTGAAAATGGTATGTCGTAATTTTGTTCAATGGCATTCTTTATATTAATGCTAGATTATTCTACACCGGTAAGGTGCTCCAAGGTCCCTCATGTTTTCACATATTTTAAATGTTATGTATGCAGTGATGTAAGCTACAACAATATTTCTGGAGACTTGCCTAAACAATTACCTTCCAGTCTCAACCAATTGTAAGCTTCATATGATCCATGCTCATAGACATGCCCCTGCATTCAGTAAGTTATACTTTGAACTGTTAGAGAGGAGTTGAATCTGTGTGATATTTACCAGCGGATCTCTCCACACTGTTGTGCATAAAAACAACTTTTTGGTTGCAGAATCATGAACAACAATCTGTTTTCTGGCGGTCTCCCACAGTTCGACCAAATGCGGTCGTTGGAAGTTATGTATGTTGCACAACTCCTGATATGTTCACACCGTTCCAGTCGTTCTCCTTTTTGAATTTTTACTTCAAAATTGGTTCCAGTGGATAAGATTTCAGTTGCAAACCTTTGATGAAACTCTTACAATAGTTTGAATGGAATTTTGAGTGTAGCTGCCAAGAAAATATGGCTCTTACTTGTATTTTTTCAAACTGCAGAAACTTGAGTAATAACCAATTGGATGACAAATTAGAGTCCCAGCTTTCCACCGCACTGGTGAAACTGCGCATCTTGTAAGATTTTTGAGAAGATGTCGGTATAGTTCTGTAAAAAATAACACGCACATGTATATATATATATATATATATATATATATATATAATTGCTTGTGTGTGTGTGTTTGTGAGTTTAAGTATGACTGAAATCTTCTCTAATAATGCACTTGTTTTATATAATTCTTCTCTTAGATCAGATTGCTTTTTTAAATAGCACTTTCAAAGGTATGTCATGTTATTGTTTGTCAACAGAGATCTTTCCAATAACAAACTCGAAGGTGGTCTCCTTGATAGCGTTAAGACAATGACTGCCCTGCAAACGCTGTAAGCAACTCGCATCTCATAACTTCTTTTGTAACGATGAAGGATGTTGAGAGACCTGGCTCTTCAAGGAGACTCCTGTTCATGGTATATAGGCCTAGACTCGGGGGAAAATTGTTGATCGGATCACCTTTCCTCGGGAATTCGCAGAAATCTACAGAACAACAAATTGAGTGGCCAACTACCAGCATCTTTGGTTCAGCTAAAACACTTGCAAACTTTGTAAGTCATTTCTGTGATTTTCTCCTTACCCTAGATTTTGTCAGCGAGAAAATTCAATCCGATTCTCAATTAAGAAGCAAAAATATTTCTTAAATTTCGATTATCCTTGTGTGAAGCAGCAATATCGAAAACAACAACTTCACAGGTTATCTTCCATCGAATTTTCGCCCCCAAACTTACAAGTAAGATTTTGGCTTGCAAAATTCTATTCATAGCTACTGATGCGCTATACAATTCTGAGAGATAATTACAGATTACTCATATATGGACAAGCAAACCATATCTTTTGCATTCCATTTCATTTCATTTTCATGAATGGTGACACTCCTTTTCTTCCTGTTGTAGGTATGGAGGGAACCAGCTAGAGCTTCACGCCCCACCTCCACCCCCAGGCACACCCACCAGATCTTCTGCAGGATCAGTAGAGTCTTCTTTCAGCGCCTGGTTCACTATTACACGGATTGTTGTAGTTGCTGCAGGTGCTGCGGCATTGGTGCTCGCACTATTATCAATATGTTTCTGGTTTTGTATCTTTAGGAACCGACCTAATACTTCACCGAAAGATCCAGAGGCCAATCGCAGCATCCAGAGACCGTGGTTCATTCCTCGCTTTTCCCGACCAAGTACGCTGCAGCGAAAATTCTAGCACACTCAGAAATTGTGTTTAAATAGTCAAGCTTCTATAGGATTGAACTCGCACATAACATGATGTCTTCATTCATTTTGGTGATATAGGTTGTGTAGGACAAATCGTCGGCTCATAAATGACCATCTATTTTTTGATTGACGTTGATATAGATACAAGCAGGGAGAAATCGAATGGAGTGTTTGAACCAGGTGAATCGATTTAATCTGCGACATACAATACTCATCTGATCAACCAGCTAATGTATTTTTCATTCTGCTCTTTGCCAATAAGTCAGATGTATCTTGAGTAATTTCCCTGGGTTGGTTGTGTAGCTCCTCTTGTCAAGGGAGTAGTTGAGGAGGCTAAAGTATCGAAAGCCTCACCGTCACTGAAGGCACTGAAGGCTCCTCCATCCTTCAGAGGTAGTAGTTTACTCCTACCTAGTGCTACGAGTTCCACTGGAATAACTGAAGAGGTTACCAAAAGCAGCATTTTGGCTACAGCTTTTTCTGTTGCAGATCTTCAGGCAGCCACCAACAGTTTCTCCCAAGATAATTTGATCGGGGAAGGGAACATGGGCGAGGTATATCGTGCAGAGTCTCCCGATGGCCAATTTCTGGCAGTAAAGAAGCTGAACAGCAACGCCTGCATGGTGCAGCACGAAGACGACTTCTTGAGGGTTGTGGAAGGCTTGGCTCGCCTTCAACACTCCAGTGCTGTGGCCCTTGTGGGCTATTGTGCGGAACATGATCAGCGGCTCTTGGTGTATGAGTACTTTGGTCGTGGCTCTCTCCACGACAAGCTCCATTTTTCCAACGAAAATTCCAAGGGCTTGTCCTGGAATGTGCGCATTAAGATTGCCTTGGGATCAGCACGAGCTTTGAAGTATGCTTCTATGTTTTGGTGACTTGATTGTATTCTGAGATGATGAGAATACGGTGGCAGTCTAAATTTGATTAACAATGCTCATTTTTCCATTTAGAGAGCTCCAAAATTTTCTGAGAATCAATTGGAGTAATAAACATGATGCACTGAAATTAAGTTTTTCTGCAGGTATTTACATGAAGTTTGTGCACCGCCCGTTGTACACCGCAACTTTAGTTCAGCCAATATCTTGTTAGACGATGAGCTCAACCCCCACATTTCAGACTGCGGACTGGCTATACTTGCATCATCTGGCTCCGAGAGTGAGGTTTGTACCCAACACATTAATCCGCAATAAAAATCTTTGATGCACACTTCGGTTGAATTTTCTGAAATTCTGCATGTATAGAATTCTGATAGTTAATATTTAAGCCGACTACTATATCAATCCGTGAATTATACATTCTTTTCTGGCAGGTGTCTGCACAGTTGACGACCTCTTTTGGATACAGTGCCCCTGAATACGCCATGTTTGGAACTTACACTGTGAAGAGTGATATTTATAGCTTCGGCGTTGTGATGCTAGAGCTTCTCACTGGGCGAAAGCCTTTTGACAGGTTCTGATTTTGTTCTTCCTTGTCAATTAACCCCTTATAACTTCATTCTTTTCAGTTGGTTCTTTCAATAAAACCGAAACTCATGAAAAGTCGCTCTGTTGATGCTTTCTTGAATATCTATACGATCCAGGGAAACGGATTGAATTTAAATTCAATGATTGATCGATTTTTCTTTGAACAGTGTGATGAAAGAAGATTTAATTGCGAATTGACGTGTAAAATATTTGTTTCATGGGATATGGGCTGAGTTCAGTACACGGCCGAGATCAGAGCAGTCGTTAGTGCGATGGGCCACACCCCAACTCCACGACATCGACGCTCTAGCAAGGATGGTGGATCCAGCATTGAAGGGCATGTATCCTGCCAAATCTCTCTCCCGTTTCGCTGACGTTGTTGCGCTTTGTGTCCAGGTATGCTACTCGTGTTCTCAATCAATTTCTTGGCATATTCACTGATAGGCATTATATTCGAGTGGAAAACCAGGTTTCAGCTCTTAAAGAAAGACTTTTTCTTCCTGGATCTTTAGAGCAGACTCGAAATTACGTAACTTGCTTCATTCCTGTTCTGCAGCCAGAGCCAGAGTTTAGACCCCCCATGTCAGAAGTGGTGCAATCACTTGTAAGATTGATACAACGAGCAAGTATGAGTAAGCGCGGTTTGGAGCTTGCCACACAAACCGACACTCCCAACAACGAATTCTCCGAGAACTCAGTTTAAGACATAAGTACCCAGCTAGCTTATCTTAAACTGATTTCTCAGACAACTTATGACGTGAGTAGACATGATGAGTTTTCTCAAGCTTCGACAACGAAGTCTTCAGTGTTGAAACATAGCGGTTGCCATGAGAGGCAACTAAGTACAGTCAAGATCAATCGGCTTATTTTAAAAAAAAAAAAAAAAAAAAAAAAAAAAAAATCTTATCTTTCCCATCAAACTGGTAGGAAAGTGCTCGGGAGAATTGATGAAACCCATGTTCTCGGTGATTGCCTCAACTCTCAATGTATGGTTGTGGTAATAAACCTGCAGATGTTATATTCCATTACATATTTAAATAAGTTTGTTGATGTTCTGCAAATATTTTTACTCATTGTTGCATTGGGAAATTCACAGCGCGACCTAGTGGTTTTTTAGTAATTTTTGACTGCTTGTTATTAAATCTTTCATGTATTCTGCATTTATACTTCCACTGCTGCTCTCAAATTTTGCATAACAGTCTTCACCACATTCAGACTCTATATTGTGGGGCGATGAGTGCAGAGAAGTCCAATTTATATATCGAAGGTGGTGCAAGGTATTTAATATGTCCGAACGTATGGTGGTAGAAGCGGCAACAGCGAGCAGAGACAGTAATAAATGTTTTGTGGCAATTTGTAAGAGTGTTGTAGTGTGCTCACCATGAAGTTATTCTTTTCCACTTATCCATGTGAAAATCAACTTTAAAAAACTTTCAATATTATTATTGCAAAGCTAGAGAGAACGTTTAGATTATCAGTGATATCTAATGTTTATTACTTTCATTTTAATATATATATATATATATATATATTTATATTTCATATGTAGGATATTTTAGAGTATCTCTGATATTGTGAAGTATTGAAACTTATTATCTTTGAAGTACAAGGTTTAACTTAATTGTGACAAAAAGTGTTTTAGTTATTAATGAATTCATATGGCAGCTTTGCATGGTTGTTACCTTAGCACAAATATTTGTATAAATATTTTTGTAGCCATGACTTATGGTACTTTGGTGATGAAAGACACAAAAAACATAAGTATCATCAAGATGAATTATATATATCATACAATGAATTATTTGGAGATATCGGATAAAAATCATTTGTTACTAAAAGTAATGGTTAATAAATAAAAAATATTTTATTATATTTCATTAGAAATGATTTAAAAAAAAATGAAATATTGATTTAGTTTATTGGAATTAAAATTTTCACAAATTATTTACAACCTATAGATAATTTTACAATTAATAGGATATCAAACCATCTAAAATAAGATGTGATTTTAGGAGATGATTGAAATAACATGCATTTTAATTACAAATTTTTACTATAGTAAATTTTTAAATAAACACTATAGCAATTTTAAATTTGAAATTTTTTAATACTAACCTTTGATCTTAACTCAAATTTTGCACATACTTAATAAATATGTAATTTTTATTAATTGAAAATATATAATTAATTTTTGAATTTTTAATTTGAAAAGTACCACAGACATACATATTTATCTAGATAAGAAATGTTAGGTAGAAGATAAAGGTAAATAGATTTAATATTATCTTGTGGCAAAGCTTTTTAGAAACTGCATAGATATATACATGATTATATTTGTGTTTGTAGTTGATTGGTAGATTAGAAACTTAACCAATAAGTTTGCCACATTTTGCACATATTAGTAGCTTGTGAACCAAGCTAATTATGTGGAACACGTATAGAAAACTTGTTTTGTAAATTAAACATATCTCTTGCAAGTTGATTACATATCAAAAGTCTTATAAAATATTGCTATTTAGCTTCTAATTAGATAGCATATATAAAAGCAAGAATAAAATCTTTTTTATTCTTATCAACTCATTTTTTATTTTTAGTCCTATTTCAAAAGACTCTACTTTTTTGTCTTTGACAATAGCTATTCCAATTCAATATTATACTATCTTTGAATGATTATTTAGTCTTTTTGAGTGTCACAAGAGTACATTGATCTTTTGATCTTTTGAGGTTTATATCTTTAATAGTTTGATAAGAATTATAATTCATTGTTTTTTATTTATTTTTAGAAGTGAGTGGATTATCTTACTTTTATTATTATGTTTTAAAGGTTTCAAACTATCCATCTTTAAACTACTTTTTTAAATTTTTTAATACTATTTTTTTCTTTAAAGAGAGTGGACTATTTGTCTTTGAAGGAATTTTCATTTGGTAATAGAAGTTGTGGATTACATTCTTCTAATTTGATTTATAAATTTATTTAAGTTTTTTTTATATATAAAAAAAATTATGGATGCAACTCTTACCAAAAGTGAAAATACATTTGCAACTATTACAAATCTTTATGAGCTTGTCAATACTCTTAGAGTAGAAATATCATATATTTCTAACATCAATCATAGAGGTAATATTTCTATACTTATGAAAGAAGTCAACAATGAAATTCAAAATCTATGCCAAAAAGTTGTTCAATTGAAAGAAACAAGTAAATCAAGTTTATAACTAAATTCAAGAAGTCGTACTACTACAAGTAAGAAGAAGTTAAAGATAAGTATGCCAAAGAAGTTTAATAGAACATGATCAAAGTTTTTAGGATTTTTACAACAAATGAAGCTCTATCTAAGGTTGCATCCTTTCTAAAATCTTGATGGATTTACATAAGACAAATTCATAGATACACTTCTATTTAGAATTTTATTTATTTATTTATTTATTTACATCTTTGATGGAAAAAGATTCAAAAATCTTTTATGATTTGAATTTATTCTTAGAAGTGTTTACAACCACATTTCGAGAAAGTGATTGAAAAAAGGTAACAAAGACCAAACTTGTATCTTTACAACAAAAATCATGTTTAACCACCATATATGTTTCTAAATTCTAAAACCTTGCTTGCAATGTGGATTGGAATAACAAAGCCCTTATTAACCAATTTTGATGTGGATTTAAACATATTATTAACAATACCAAGAGTAGACTTATTAGAGTAATTTATAGCTAAAGCTATTGTATGCAATAATCAACTCATTGAAAGATGCCAAGAACAAAGAATTAATTAGAGAGGTATAAGTCAAGTCATAGCAATAACTTCTAAGTTTTCAAGAGCTTATTTATAAAGGCCAAAACCTATACAAATTGACATGATATGTTTTAATTTTCTTACTATACAAAAAAAGATTTGATGCCATTAAGTATTTTTGTGCTTATATTATGAAGAACTTAAACACATTATTCAATATTATCCAAAAAAACAATGTAACCACAAAATAAAAAGCATGGTTATTAAAAAAGACAATGTATTAGAAAATAAATTTTTCCAATTATAATAGAGACCATGCAGTTAAAATCTTGTATAATACTTAATAAAGATCCTATTTTCTTTTCAAATCTCTTACTTTATTTTACAATAGAAGTTTATTTAGGATCAAAAAATCACAAAATCTTTTCTTTATTGAATTTAAAAGCCTCAACTTGTTTTATAATCAAAGACTTTATTAAAAAAACAAGAAATATCTTTAGTCAAGAACATCAAATCCATATATGTAGAAGTAATAGATGGTCATTTGTTTTCTTCTAGAGATATTATTCATAAAAAAATTCTTTTAGATGTATCAACTAATGGTCATGATAGCTTAGTAGTATTTAATATGATTAGATATCCTTCTAATCTAATTATTTTAGAATTATTATGGTTAGAGAAGTATAATCTTTAAATAAACTACATTTCTTGTAATCTTAATTTTTTTTTTTAGTTTAATCCAAAATTTTATTAATCAAGTAAAAATCCATAAGTCAAATACAATCAAATCCTTATTAATAGGTGCAATAGCTTTGATACATGCTACAAAAGAAAGGTCGTATTTTGTTATATATATCATATCTATTTTTTATAATAGAAAGACTATAAGTAGTATTTTAATTCAATATCAAGATTATTAAGATTTTCTTAAGAAAAAAAATACTAATATCATTTTAAAGCATTGTCCATTTGATTGTTCAATTATTCTTCAGGAAGAAGGTCAACTGCCATTTGAATTAATCTATAGCTTATTACAAAATAAATTAGTTGTACTCAAGGAGTACATTGATAAAAACTTGACTAAGAATTTTATATGTTATTTAAAATTTCTAACAAAAGCTCCTATTTTATTTATTAAGAAAAAAGATGGATTAATGCAAATGTGTATAGATTATCAAGGGTTCAACAAAATTGCCATCAAAAATAGCTATCTTTTATCTTTAATTTTAAAACTTTTTAATCAATTTAATTAAAAAAAGATCTATACAAAAATAAATCTATGAAGAATATACAAGTTGGTATACATCAAAGAAGAAGATGAATAGAAGATTGTGTTTCAAATCAATTGTGGATGTTTTGAATATAATATCTTATCTTTTGGACTCACAAATATACCAATTACTTTTTAACATCTAATAAATTATATTTTTTGAAAGTTTTTTGATGATTTTATTGTTTTTTATTTATATTATATTTTAATATATTTTAAGAATACAAAAAAGCATAAATTTTATATTTATTGTGTATTACAAAAGCTTAGAGATACAAGATTATATGCCAAGATGAAAAAGTCTATATTTCACATTACTTAAGTTAACTTCTTAAGATATATCATTTCAATTGATGGCCTTATAATAAATCTTAAGAAAGTCTAGACTATCATAGATTAGAAGGTCCCAAAAATAATAAGAAATATCCAATGTTTCTTAGGATTTGTCAATTACTATTGAAACTTTATCAAGAATTTTTTTCAAATTGTGACACTTCTTACATATTTGGCATGTAAAAATAAACTTGAATAGAATAAAGAAGCTAAAGCATTATTTGAAGCTTTAAAGATAGTTTTTATTTTTGTACTAATATTATACTTTGTTAATTTTTTTAAGGCATTATTTATAAAAATCAACACATCAAACTTTACTTTAAGAATAATATTGTCACAAATAGAAATAAATGACAAATTCCATCCAGTAGATTTTTATTCCAAAATAATTTTAGTAACCAAGATCAATCATAAAATCCATAAAAATTTTCTTTTTGCAAATGCAGATTTATTTTTAAAATGATATTATTATCTAGAAGGTGCTTTTAATCTAATCATCATATATATTGATTATAAGAGCCTTAAATATTTTATGTCAATACATATTTTGAATCATTGTCAAGCTTATTAGAGCATGTTTTTATCAAGATTTGATTTTAAGATTACTTATTGACAAAGAAAGCAATAAGGTTTGTCAAACATTCTTATCTTATATCAAAAGTAAAAGATACAGCTTTTGACTAACAAAGAATGCTTCTTTCAAAGCAAAAATATTTTCATCTTTGAATAATGTAATC